AAACATTTATTTGTAATTTTTCCGATCATATGATAAAGGTTTACAGGAAAGTCTAGTTTTCAAAACTACAGTTCTTATTGTAACACATTTAGTAAAAAAATATATAGTGCTGTAAAGTAACTTTAAAACGGAATAAATGGTTTTTTTTTGTCATTCTCAAAAATATCATGTTAAAATTACCAAATTTTATAACATTTACAAAAATCATTACCAAAGCGGTTAAATTATACTATATTCTGGAAGTTCTAACCATACTTCTTTTCTCAGTGGAGTCATATTAAAATATATGACTCTCTTATTGCAATCTTATTGGGACAGACATATTGTTTTGTTCTCTTATTAACTTATTTTTCTTCTCTTACTTTTGTTTTTAATTAGAAAACTCGCATCTTTGTTTATAAATTTAAATTATGTTTTTCATATTTAAAATTATGCGTGTTTAATAAAGATGTTTTCTTAAAAAACATCGTGTTATCGAAGTTAAGGAAAGACGTAATTATATATTCTTAGGAAAATATGTTTAACGTTGAACCGTAATATAGGTACATTAAATCATAATACGGTGAAAATTTCCAGCCACATATTAAGATGTTTATCATGTTTCAACTCAAATTAAAGAATTATTGTTCAACAATACCGTATAATCAAGTTTACGATGTACGATAATTTAAACTCCACACGATAATACGTTTGTAGCATATATGGCTAAAAGAATTCCGAAATTTTCAACAGTGTAGAATGAATACCTATTCCAAACTACCTATTGTAAAAAATTCAGGATTCAATTACGGTAAAAGAGTTTGTATTCCCTGCCATTGGAAATAAAAAAGTAATAATAATAAAATAAAAAATTACGGTAAAAGTACTCAGGCACACAGGGTGCTGGCACTTTTTACGGTAGAATCTATCGTTCACTCCAAATCCATTTTTTTATAAATCCATGTTACGGAACAAAAAATCTGATACACTGTAATTTTTACAGTAATAATCATCGTAAAATCCCGAATCAATTTAATTAAATAAATATTACTGTAAAAAATACGGTATTGTATTTTGCGGTAAAAATGGATTTTAAGCTAAAATGGTTGTTTATGGATGCACTAAAAGTGCCAGTAGTTTGTACCGTAATTTGATCCAGATTTTTTTACAGTGTAGTTGAGTAAAAATAAAATAATTATGTCTACAAATTTTTATTTATAGGACAAATAAGGAAAGATAATTAGCGAAAAATTTCAAAATAAACGTTGAATATTTATTTTACTTTGAGCTCTATGCAGGTGACCTTAACAACCTCCCCAAAATTAGATTTTATTTTTTAAAATGCATTGATGCAAATTTTAACTTTTATTATTGTTGTTTTTGGTAAGATTGAAAGAAGAATATTGCAAAATCTATTCTAATACGAGAACAAAATGTTAAGGAGAAAAAGATGAATCACTTTCCTGCTCTTGCGCACATAAAAAAATATTATTTTTTTCATGGCATACTTTAATTTTAGTGTTTTTATTTTTACATAATTTCATTGCATTAAATAACTATGTTCAATCAAAGAAATAAAAAAAAAGAACATAAAAAAATGATTTCATAGTATTGATTTAGTATCTGCTTATTTCAGTATCATTTCATTTTACGATGAGTTAGTCTGTTTAACCAACTGATACTATACATGTAATCTATTTTCTGATAAGGATAAACATTATATCTCTTATCAGCCTGTCTAATTTTGTATTATTTTAAGGATTAATGACTAGAAAAATAAAATAAAAATTCAAAAAGTTTTGCTCCAAATGAGAGCAAGGTCAAAAAGCTATTTAAGCAAAACAGGAGTAGAAATTTTAATTAGTTTATGCAATGAGTCACTTGAGATTTAAAGTTGATAATGAAAATTTAAACAATAAAACAGTGTAAAAAAATTATAAGATCAAAACACGGATTTGGAGCATACAGCTGCCGCTAGAAATTAATCAGGCATTTAATCTTAGACGTAAAATGAAATTTTGAAGCATTTAAAGTCAGATGAAATTTTATGGTGAAATTTTGTTTCAGCTATTCACGGCATTGAAAAGTCGTATGAATGGCTGATTGAGCTGAAAAATGATTTGTAGTTATTAAAGAATTAAATTAGAGTCCTGTTGCTTCAAACAGATCTATTGATAAGTTGAATGATTTGGCGCCGATTATGAAATAAGAGAGATGAAACGAGCTCATTAGCTCAAACCTTCGGGTTTCCGAAAAAAAAATTCGTAAATTTTTATTATTTTCAAACAAAAAAATGTGCAAAATCTCGTTTGTATTGAGTTTAAAAATTGTAAAAAAATGTAGTGTAAAAAAAAAAGTATAGGTAAGAAAAAGTATTCTCAAAATATATATTATTTGATCTTTCCCTTCGCAAAGTTTGGCTTTATATCATGTCGAATTTTGACCATTAAAGAACAGATTAAATCTCATATATTTTTGATCATAGACTCGGGTCTCTAATAGTTAACCCGAGTTTATCTCTAATATTATATAACAGGATGAGAAGTTAGAGCTGATGGACTTTTCATTCCATCACATAGTTCCATCACTCTTTCACGACATTATGATGCCTAATGGGAGAAAAGAGATAAACTAAAACATTTAGTAATATGTTTTTTTGTAGTTTCCAAAATCGTGTTAAATAAGGCGCTAAAATAATTTTTTGAAATTCAAAATTTTGTAAGTTATTGAGCAACTTTGTTAGACTTAAATCATTTTTCATTTCTCTTAAAACCTATTTTTTTAATTCGTCCCCCCAATCCACTGTCCATTTTTTTTTAAAAAATAGTCCATCATGAAATTCTATAGAATAGAATCAGGCTGTCATGTACGATTTTTTTGACACCTCTCTTTTTTTTCAATTAAAGTTTCTAACTTAAGATGTTGCATTTTCTTTTATTCATTCATTTTATTGCTATAAATTTTCAGAATTAAAAAAAAAGTGGATATTTTAGAAAAATTGATGATGGTATTTCTCTTTAATATTCTAAAGAGACTATGTTAATCTCTCAAAACTGAGTTAGCTTACATCTTCACTATGAATGGCAATAACTTAACTTTTTATGAGATACCTCTATCTCTTAAAAATGTAGTCTTCTTTTGACAGTAACTCAATTTTTTTTAAAATGTCGCAGTGACTAAACATATCTTACGGTTTATTTCTTATTTGTTTAAAATATTGTTTAGTGGTTTTTCTTCTTCTTTCAAAGCACTACAGTCTACTACAGGCCACAGCCGTCTATATATAAGTCCTTCCTCACCGAGTCACGCCACCCAATTGGTGAACATCCTCGTTTTCTGTTTGTCACCACATTAGTAAAAGTGAGCTTTTTTTTAAAAACTGGATTTGTATTATTAGATCGGAATAGATCGTAGTTTATTACATTTTATGACTTTAACTATAGCACGTTGCTTGTACTTTCGTTAAATTTCAAAGTTAAACAAGGTTCTCCAACTATTATTCTCACGGAATGTTTCAAATATTTTCCCTAAGATTTTTCATCAAAAGGACAATGATTTATTCTCATATAACTTGGTTATTGCCCAGCATTCTTTTCCATAAAGCAGTCGAATTAGTGTTTTATAGAAATTAGTATTTATAGTTTGTCTACGATGAGAACTCCCCCCGCCACAAAGTCTGAGGCCGTCTGCTGCTGTAGAAACAGGAATAACGCATTTCAGGGAGGACAGCTTCACTTCACTCTAGGGCCAACACACTAGACAGAAGAAAAATATTCCCTTTCTCTCGCCGAAAACTGTTCTAAACAATGACCCTACACCCCTATTTGAAACAGTTGTACCTCGTTACCATAGTCACCGCCACGGGTGCAGACGAATGGCTAGGGGAGTTTTTACTTTCGACAAACTATAGTTGTTACATAATATAAATTGTAAAATTTGAATAACATAAACTACTAGGATTAAATATTATTTCCTTTATATATTCCAATTTTTTTTTAATTTTTTTAAAACTTCTTTTTTTTAGAAAAAGAAAACGAAAGCAATTTTTAAAAGGAATGAATAGGCTTATTCACCCATTAACATCCCAAAAAGAATTTGCCGCGAAATACAGCAATATTTCCCTTTTATTTGTTTAAATACAAACTCTTTAGTCTTTCAAGGAAAAAACTCTACTTAAAACAACAGAAAGAAAGTTGTTAGTGTAGAGGTGCGCACAAGAAAAGTGTGACGTTCATGTTGTGTAAATACAGCGGACGCAGATGCTGTTACTGATGAAACGAGGTCCACTGAAAAAAGAAAGAAAAAAAAATTGTGTCACACAGCATCTTCCTTTGCCGAAACGGAATTCGTTTGACGGACATGGCCATTTCGGAGGTACACACTCTTGTGTCACAGCCACGCTTGACTTACAATAGGTCAAAGTTAAACAGTGGCTAAATCACAAGCGTTCCGATTTCACTTTCGCAAGCAGTGCTCATGCAGTATTGTTCAAATAACGGAGTTTGAAACTCATTAGAAAAAGGAAGTAAATTGTAAACACTTAAAAAATTTCATTAATGTCGTTTTATAGAAAAAAGCGAGATGAAATTATTTACGAAATTAACTTCAAAATTTCGTGTCGTTTGGTTTTCTTGAATAACACTGAGAAACAATTTTTTTTCTGTTGCATGAAATTTTTTTAAACATATCTTAGATAACTTTCAAAATAGTAAATAAGTAGTGAGGTATAGTGTAGCTTTCAGGAGAACTCCTCCAGACACCCGTCTCGCGTCGTGGCGGGTACTATGGTTACGAGGAAAGGTCACTTCGAATAGGGGTGTGGGGAGAATAGTCTTAATCTCAGCGTAGGGCGTCGTGAGTAAACCAATCGACACCTTCTTTCCTCCATTTCACCCCCATTAGAAATGTGCTCTCGCGTGTTACCATAACAACAGGCAGCCCCAGACTTTCAGTCTGGAGGAGTTCTCCTCAAAACCGCACTAAAATAATTAATTTTTGTTGAATTATAAAAGATTACTAACCGCTGAAGCTTTGTTGGCTGTCCTACATATGTCGTTGTAGTCAGGGTGATCCGGGGCTGTTTGTTCAGCCAAGAGCGACAGATATCGCTCATACTGGACCAGGCGCTCCAACTGAAAGAAGAAGAAAAAACAAATATAAACATACATATATTTTATTTATAGGATCGTTAAATAAATATAAATAAGAATGAGCATTCATGAGAGCCGTAGTGGCCCAAGAAATAGAGCCCTCACCCCCCCAATGAGGTGACCTAGGTTCGAATCCCAGCGATGGCTGGTCGTTACGAATTCCGCACCCGGCTCACGTCAACCACAGTGCTGACGTAAAATATTTTCAGTAGTAGACGGATCATAGGTTAGGGCTAACCTTGGGAGCTTTTCGGGGATATTCCTCTCCAAGTAACCAAATACGTCCACGATGGCTAGTTTGTCCCAGTTCTTGATCCAAGAGTTCCCTCGTTTTTTGAGTTAGGTTCAAAATTACAAGGCTACGGGATTGAACATGTTTCTGAAACTCAGATTTCGGTAGGATGTTCAACGCCAGGTATATGATTATTCTGAATAGAATGTTTTAATTTACGAATGTATTTTACTTATTTTCTTTAGTACTCATGGTGATAAAAAAAATGAGAAGCTACAAGAAAGCATTGAGTGTGTAAGAATAGCAACTCATAAAAACTGAAAATAAATTTCTGCTTTAAACCTCACATCTATTTATGTCAAATCATTTTCTATATATTCTGTAATTAATAATTGCCGATGTTAGAAAGAAGTAATTGATAAATGGTTTCTGAAGTGAATGATATGGAATGCCTTAACTTTAATCTGTTAACATTACGTAGACACATTATGTAGAACTGAATGTACAATTAATGAAGAATTCTGAAGTTAAGACCTCTTATGTCATTTAACTAAAACACAAAATATTACATATCTTTAGATATTCAATTAATATATTAACGTGTTTAAATGTGCAGTGTTCTGAGAGCTTTAAAATTCAGAGCTATATTAGTAAAATAGAAAGATAAAAATGGCTCTACCTGAGCGTGAAAAAGAAAGTAAAAAATAAAATAAAGATAAAACAAAACAAAAAAAAATCGCAGTGACCGAGTGAGGCAATGAAGGGCAAAATGCATTTCCAAGCTACATGGAGATGGTGAGGTTAACAAGGGAATCGGCGTACTTTAGGTGCACTTTGATAGAGTTCATTTCTACACCCTTTATTTTATTAATCTCGGTAAATTTAAACGAAGCGTTTTGCTAATAATTTTTTAATAAAATTAAAAATAAAATATGATTTTATAATGGGTGACAAAAATTTTGGTATACGTGGTTAAATTTGTTAATTTCATCATGATGCCTTAAAGCATGGCATAAAAATTATTTATTTGGTTAAATTTACTTTTCAAATTCGTATTTTTTACTAAATGTGTGGTGATAAGAAATATAATTTTGGAAGAAAGAATATCAGCTAAACCGTTACCATACGAAATGAAAAATTACAGAAGAAATTGTCTAAATATGGTATATCGAATATTTTATATTATTTATCATATTAATTTTTTTTTCGTACCAGTAATGGCATTATTATACAAAGCGGTAATTTGACTAGATTTTTTCTCTCTCCGCGTATGTTCGAAAAGATCTTTATGCGTTATAACGAATAAAAAAAAAAAAAAATACACAAAATTTAAACTTAACGAGAATAAATTTACTTTAGGCTATTTGGATAAAAAAAAAAAACTTTTTTTCTTTTTAAAGCCAGAGCAAAGTAAACGTTTTAATAATTTGGTGGCAGACTTGCATATTTTCTCACGATAAACCATACTAAATTAGTCCTAATAGAAGTGAAAAATAAATAACAAGAAGGAAAACAATGGATTCATAGAGATTAAAAGGTAATGACATTTCTTGAACAAATAATATAACGAGTGTGAAGAAACTTTAAGCACATTTAGTAGTTCACTGGGAAGAACAGGATCCTTCAAATTAATCTTTTGTGCAAACATCCTTAAAAATCAATGCCTTTGCATCTAGGATTATTATGATAAAAAAAAGCGCTACCTTAACCAAGTAAATATGCAAAGAATAATATATATATATTTTATTTTATAACCGCCGTTGTTGAACAGCCGACCCAATTTTGCGTTTACGACTACTAATGCTCAACTCCGCAGCTTTGCAATTTTAGATTCGTGGAGAGGAAAACCACGAAACCTCCAAGTGTTAGCCTAAAAGCAAGGGGACTCCAACCCATGATCCGTCTACCACTGAGGATATTTTACGTCAGCACTGTGGTCATTGCGAGCCGGGTGCAGAATTCGTATCGATCAGCCATCGCTGGGATTCGAACCCGGTTCACCTCATTGGAAGGCGGACGCTCTATCCTATAAGCCACCACGGCTGTAACATGTACATTGTAAGAAATGGTTGGATTTCAAATTTGAGGTATTTTTGATGTCAGACAATAGAACATTTTTATTATAGAATTTAATAGCCTGTTGGCTGAGATGTTTATGATTTCCGAAAATACATACGATTTATAGTTAGGTATAAAATTATAAGAATTTTTCTAACGCTATATTTTATATTCTATTTTAACAAACAGCAATATTAGAGAATAGGTTGTGCAAAACAAGATTAAAATTTATTTTTATATTTTATCAATTTCCAATATGTAAAACAACTTGAAATATTTATGTATTTTAAAAAATTCCTTTTATAATAAATCTAAAAGATATTTTTGGATTTAAAGTCCGGTTTGTTACTCTCTGTTAAAGTCCGGTCTGTTACCAAAGATTATCATTTTTAAAATTACACAATACATGATACTAACAATTTTTATTATTGCTTTCACAGATTTTAAAATCACTGGTATGGTGCACTTTTTTCTTTCCTTTTTTTTTCATAACTAAATATGGTCCAGAATACACATTTTGTATGCAATTTCTTTTAAATTTATACTAACTAAATTCTAAATCAATATTTTTTTAAATATTAAATAATTTTGAATGGTTGGGATAAACAAACATCCTTAAGGACTATGAATTGTTATTATTAATTAAATAAAATTAATTAGGAATTACTTTTTTTTAAACATGATAAACATCAAGATGATAAAAGGGAAGGAGAAAAAATATGCTTTTAAAGTGTAATTTTTAATAAATAAATTATGAATGATTATTTTTAGCAGTTGTAAATAAATACATTTTAAATGATTTTGAATGCATAGGATAACAAACATCCTGAAAAACTATGAATAATTATTTTTATAACATGATGAGCGATTACTTTATTATTTTTAAAAAACACGATCAATATTAAAGTGATAAAAGAGAAGGTGAAAAAATATGTATCTAAAGTTTATTTTAAAAGTTTATTGTTTGAATATCTAATTATGAATGATTATTTTCAACAGTTGTAAATATACATGAATGCATAAATATTCTTAAGGATTTTGAATAATTATTGTTGAATAAATACAATAACTTAGAATTAATTATTTATTTCATTTTTTAACATTTTTAGCATAATCAGTATCCGTATTTTAATATATATCAGCATTATTAGCATAATCAGTATCAAGTATCATAATCAGCAAGATGACAATAGAGAATGTTCCACAAACATCTTTTTAAAGTTTAATTTTTCATAACTTAATTATGAATGAATAAAACTAATATTTTATGAATAATTATAAGTGATTTATGAGTAATTATAATAATTATAATATGAGTATTATGAATAACTTATGAATAATTATAATAACTATAATGTGAGCATTACGAATAATTATAAATAACCTATAAAATTTAAAAGATAGCCATTTGAAATTTTAAAGGTCTGTGAAAAAAGATAAGTTAAAACTCACCCAACTCAAACGGACGACGAACACCCGCAAACTAAACATGTTAAGTTTAAAAAGCTATCATCACTATACAATGTGCCAACAGTCGCCATCAGGTGAAATACTCCAAAAGTGTCCACATCGCAGACATACATCACAGACTGTTGACACTCAAAAAAGGTACCGAGTTTATGCGTTACTTCTTTTTCTCTCTCCAAAAACAGCACAAATAATTAAAAAAAGATTTTTTTTGTCATTATTATCCTTATTTTACTTTTCATCTCTATTATACAATACAACCACACCTATAAAATTTTGATGCGCATGCTTGCACCGATAGCGTTCAAACGTCCAGGCTCCATAAAAGATCACGGACAGAGAGAGGGGGGAAAAAAATCCTGAATCTTAATTCATTGCTTTTAAAAACCATGAAAAAGGCAGCATTTTCCCCATTTTTTATTCTATTTTCTGAAATAGCAGCTTAGAAATTGTTTTATCAATGGGTAAGATTTAAAGCAGGTCCAACTGTCTTTTTGATCAGTTAAGACAGTTGGCGTTACTTATTCCTTTGCGGCGTTGGAGATTAACATAGCATTAAGTAGAACGATTATCAATTGAACAAAATAACTTACCGTTACATTTTAATTATATTGGTTGAATTATGAATTTGAAAACAGCTATATAATGAATGATCGCAGCTAGCACTTTTGAGATTTTTTCATTTTAATCAAGTTTTAAATAACAATTGACTTAAAGCGTTTAAGGAGTGTAAATATATATTTTTTAAAGTTTTGAGTTCAATTATATTCTTTAAAGATAATGACTTCATCAGCCTGGCAAAGCACAACTTTATTCTAGAATTAAGAATAAAGAATGGAGTTATAGATTAATGCTTTTCATAAAAAATTTGAATTAGTACTAAATGATATACGATTGTTGACAGACAAAATTTAATTTTAAATATTTATTCTCAGCCCATGCTGAAAAAGGATTAAATAGAATATCATTTGCAAGTGAAAAATTTTATAAAATATTCGACTAAGTATTAGTACGTTCAAATAGTTTGTCAATCTATTTATATAGATTAATTAATATATTAAAGCAAAAAAAAGTAAATAAGAAGGCATATGGCAAGATTTTAAAATAGGAATTATTGGTATAGCAATGGCAAGATTTTAAAATAGGAACTAAAAAGAAAATATCGAACTGCACGAAAATTAAATTACTATTCAATATCTTATTCAAAATATGGAATCTAATAAAA